GTGCCGAGAACAAGTTCACATCTTTGGATTCTTCTTCTTTTGAGTCAACAACAATAGCGTCGACAACAACAACAGCAACTGAGTCAGCAGAGATGACGGAAGGTGTAACAAGCTCAACTGCAGATACAACTCCAGTGATTACAACTGAATCAACATCCACTCCAACAAGAAGGGCATCAACGACAATAGAAACAACGCAAGAATTTACTACGAACCCGAAAACGACAATAACCCAAGAAACAACAACTGAAGGCTTAACAACTACTCAACCAATCACAACAACTGCAACAGACAAAGAAACAACAACCGAAAGATTAACAACTACAACAATAAACCAAGAAACAACAACTGAAAGCTTAACAACTACTCAACCAATCACATCGCCATCAACTTCATCAAATAAAGGAACAACAACTGAAGGCTTAACAACTACTCAACCAATCACATCGCCATCAACTTCATCAAATAAAGAAACAACAACTGAAAGTTTAACAGCTACCCATCTAATCACATCGTCATTCACTACCAAAAAAACATCTACAGAGAAAATGACAACCACAAGTAACGCAAAAACATCATCAACTTCCGAACCAACAATGACATCGGTAATAAGTACTGACGGCAAAACAACTGCGAAAGAAGATACATCTCCAACTACAACAACAAGTAAACCTAAATCAACCCTCAGTACATCAATATCGCAGTCAACAGAAACAACCCATGAACTTGTGGACACTACTACATCATCTAACGCAAAAGATACCATAGAAGAACCGAATCAGTCAAAACTGAGAAACACACATTTGATCGTGGGAGCCTCGACTTCCGTTGTTGGAATAGTATTATTAATGATAATCATTGGAGTGGTAGCAAGAAAATGTAGTAAATCGTAAGTATTCATTTCTTTTAATTTTACATTGTGATTAAACGATGAGAAGAACACCTATCATTTTAATTGAATTATAAACGGTCTATCGTTTATGTTTGCTTCGGTTAACTTCATCCTTTCCCAATCACTTTTAAATAAAACGCCTTTCAATTACTGTCGATTGTTTAAAAAGTAACTTTTCGACACTTTAAAAAATATTCAGTCACATATGTGTTTTATATAAATATTACATAGGAATAAACAAAACAAGAAACAACAGGAAGACAATGGACCAGTCAGAAACTGGAGAGACCTTGCCTTAGCGGGAAAACAAGACACAGATTCTCAGAACAAGGTCAATTCGTCCTTATCCTACAACAGAAATTACTACGTTGGGCACGCACCTCTGCATCAATTCAAATCTAGTGGCGGATCTCGGCATATAGACTCTAATAAATATCACAGATATTGACAATTCTAAGCTCATCCCCTATTGCACATAAATACATTGTAGTATTTAACCTTTTTTTACTGAATTTGTATATATTATTTGCTTTGAAGCTGCTTTATGAGGCAATTATATAGTGTTTATTTATGACTCAATATAGTGTGTATAATTTTATAATTGTTCTCTGTATAGAGTGCTTTTTCCCTGATGTAAAGATTATTTCTCTTTGAAAGTAGTTTTGTTACATTTTTTTAGGTCTAGGTGACCTATTGCTATTGCTATCTGTTTTCGTCCGTCGTCGTCCGTCGTGCGTCGTCCGTCGTGCGTCGTGTGTTAATATTTGAACATTTTCAGTTTCTTCTCTGCAACCACTGAACCAATTTCAACCAAATTTAGCACAAAGCATCTATGGGTAAAGGGGAAAAAAAATTGTGAATTTCATGATCCCTGCCCCCCTGGGGCCTAAGGGGTGGGGCAAAAACTAACAAAATTAATGCAATCTTTAAGAATCTTTTTCTTTACTCCTTAACATCAAGCAGTCAAACTATTTACATGATTGTAATCAGCATTGAGTCCTCTACTAAAATTGTGAAATTCATGGCCCTGGGGTCAGGGGTTCTAGTGCTAGGGTGGGGCTAAATAAGTATATAGTGAAAATGCATTATTTCTTTGAAAATCTTCTTCTCTGCTCCTGGGTATTAAATAAATCAACTAAGTATATAGTTATGATGAGCAAGAGTGCCTCTACCAAAATTGTGAATTTTATGGCCCCAGGGTCAGGGGTTCTGGTCTTAGGGTGGGACTCTATTGGTTATATATTATAGTAAAAATACATGATATCTTTGAAAATCTTCTTCTCTGCCCCTGGGTATTAAATAAACTAACTAAGTACTTAGTTATGATGAGCAAGAGAGCCTCAACCGAAATTGTGAATTCTATGGCCCCAGGGTCAAGGGTTCTGGTGTTGGGGGGGGGGGGCTCTATTGATTATATAGTGAAAATACATGAATTCTTTGAAAAACTTCTTCTCTGCTCCTAGGAGTTAAATAAACTAATTAAGTACATAGTTATGATGAGCAAGAATGCCTCTTCTAAAATTATTAATTTTATGGCCCCAGGTTCTGGGGTTCTGGTGTTAGGGTGGGGCTCTATTGATTATATAGTGAAAATACATTAAATCTTTGAAAATTTGCTTCTCTGTCTCTTGGTATGAAGCAGATGAACTACCTATATAGTTATGATGAGCAAGGGCCCTAATCTTGCAGAATTGTGAATTTCAAGGCCCCAGTGTCATGGGTGGGGTGGGGGTGGGGCCTTTACTTAGATACTGAAAATGAATTAATTGTTTGAAATCTGCTCCTTTGTATTTATGAAACATTTATTTATTTTTTGATAGGCAATTTTAAGGGTGCCTTTTAAAAATTTGTGCAACGTGTGGACATAAGGTCAGGGGTTTATGTCACAGTGTTAGGGGCACTTCTGATTATTGCTGAATATTACTGATTAGTTGTAGTGCATTTTTGTTCCCCTACCCTGTTTATGGGTATTCAGTAACCAAGCTAAGCAACTGCTAAGTGTATTGTTATGATATGATGATCAATGGTGCTTCTTTCAAAATTGTGAATGCCATATAACATCTGGCTAAAAACATGAATCAAATTCAATACACTGTAACTGGGAAGTTGTTGCATAATGCTCAGGTGACCTATAAGGCCCGTGGGCCTCTTGTTTTAAAAAGATAATGGAAATATAAGGAAGAATGAAAACCAACGTTACGTACGTAAGAACATTTTTATAAGGAGAACATGAGAATATAAAAACTCCATGGATATGTTTTATCAAAATAATATATCACGAATATACACATGAGTAGGGATATTGTAATAGAGATGTTAACATGGAAAGGCATTAAATGTTAATTACCGTCTTCCTTGGAAGACGGTATTATATAGTTGAAGTTTTTTACAGTCTTCGGACTATGCACTTCCTCTCTTTTGTGATAGGTAGAAATTGCATGATGAGAAAATTTTCAATTATTTCATTGGTTGAAATGCTGTTCAAGGCAAGGGAGATAACTTTCTGATGATCTAATTTTCGTACGACTTAACAATTTTGCTAGATTTTCAATCTTAAAAAAAATGACAAAACGAAGAACAAAATCAGCAGCAATTAATTCTAAATAACATGCTATTTTTTAAATAGCAATAATCAAAAAGGTCTTTAATTTCATTGTAAGTAAAATATGATTTTTATTGCTTGCAGGGTTTACAATTTGTTATTACTCTTTTCCCCTTTTTTGTTTTAAGAAGGTAACGGAATCAGCCGAGGTTTACCGAAAGCTCTCAGCCACAATCGCGATCAGCTCTCAGCCAGTCAAAGTTTACGGAGATGACCGAGCGACAACCGCGGTAGGGCAAATGCCAGTAAAAAGCTAATTTAAGAATTTTAAAAAATGATAAGGCCTGATAGGTAAATCAGATAACTGTTAAAGGTTGTTGCTAAAGACGGTAAGCTTTTTAAAAAAGCTCTACTTGTATAGAATATCAGTTGATAAAAAGAAAGATATTTGGACGCACGACCTAATGATTACTGAGGAATGTCACATTGCCAATGTTCTCTCAATTAAATTTATGATTTGAAATTACAGCATGTGAATATGATTTCACTTCTTGACTGTTCCTTGATATATGCATGCAATGGTCATTTCCGTGTTTTAGCAAATCCCCGGAGAAGAAATATAATAATGGCGGACATGGAAGTAAATGTGGTTTACCGGAAAACAATGTCTGAATAAAATATATGAAGAATGTGTCCATGTTGTTCTGAAATCGGAATGACTAGTATATTCTTTGATCTCAGATATTTCCAGTATTATAGTTGTTGTATACTAACGTATTTTCGTGTTATTCATGCCTTTGGTTTAACAAGAGAAAAATGGAGGCATGCATCAATCACCTGAACAGAACACATATCTTAAAGGATTCACAAAATTTAATGTACTTTAATGTAGAAAATTAAACAAATTGATATTAAATTCACGGATGATCGAAGCTATGCTGTCCAAAATAAAAAGGAAATGAAATGATATGACATGACACGATTTTTCTTAAAAACTTTATTGATACACATGTGTTTCTCTACATTGAGCCTATGAACCACATAACGAATTGTTTGACAATCTGATACCTTTATATTAACGATTACGACGTTTTAGTCGGTAGAGCGCTCGCTTTGTGTTAGGGAATTTGAATATTGGCTTCCACTGATCTTAGTCGATAAAAACAATGGGTAGCAACCTTTCATAAACCATGCACTCGACACATGAAGTCAAAATAGCGGTTCATTTGGATGAGACCTAAAAAATTGGGGTCCCATGTCACGACAGGCGTTGGCCACGATAAAGGTAACTGCTTACTGCTTATTGACCCTGAGTGCTGAGAAAAGGTCAAAAGTTGAAGCTCTTCAGCGGTATATGGTGACATCTCTACATGAGTCAAAAATTTTTGAATTGGACGTAAAAAGGCATATACATGTAATTAATCTATAATTACTCTTATTAATCTTATAATAATTAATATCTATCAATTGGTTAAGCACCTGGTTGGGAGATAAAAAAAAGTATTCTGTATCTTTGAAATATTGAGAGAAAATGAATGTGCATGTATTATTACCGATTTTGTTAATATTTGACATATGTAACATGTTTTGGGTTGCCATTCAGTCATGGGATTTCTACATATTGTTTACATATTTGTTTCTGCATAAAATATTTGTAAAAGCACAAATACTTTGTTGAAGGTCAACAATTTAATACTTTGGTTGGACATATGATATCCATCTTCCTGATAGCTATCTACTAAAATTGTAACACCCCTTCTTTTTGTCAAATTCTTTCATATCAAACACAAGAACTTGTAGAATGAGAAGTTTTGTTCTGTGTTTCAACCTGCTCATTATTTCTTGTTTTATATTTGGAATAACGGCTTTTTGTGAGTAATAAAAATTTTATTTTTTTTGCGAAGCTAATAACCAACTTCAAAACTTATGGACAGATTATACAAACATTTTTTTTTCTTTGAAGGAGACTTACTATCCTCTCATGTGCTTAGAAATTTGAAAATGAACTTTATGAGGAAAAGCAAAATAACATATGATCAGATCAGCAATATCATATAGGATGACTTTTACCATTTTGCTTTTTCTACTAAATTTCACCTGGCTTATATATATTTCTAAGGTTTATATTACACTTTTAGCAATAAGGTACAATATTCTGAAATTTGTTATCACCTGTTAACCTGTTTACATTTACTGTGTGTGATTTGTATATTATATATTTTTTTATTGAAATGTTGCTAATATTTTCGAATTCTATCTAATCTTAGGAGAACAGTTCCAAGAATTATCCACTTTTCAAAACTTATGAAATGATATACTGACATGCAAAAGAAACGCAACAAGCAGTAATCTACAAATGTTTGAATTTTTTTATCTGAACAGTGCGACATTTAACTCCGGACACGACATTTGTCCGGACTTTCGCCAACCACTTTTCCAAAGATACATAGAAAAAATTTATGTCATCCGGTGGGATTTTTTTAATCGCACAACATGGACTAACCTTTACACCTGAATATCTTCCAGTTTAAAAGATATTACACCTGAAATCAAGAAATCCCATGGGATTATGGTGGGATTTTCTCTCCTAACCAATATCCCACCATTATTCTGTGGGAGAAAAATGAGTTCTGTGGGATTTTTTCTCCTATAGAATCAAAATTCCCATTTTTAACCTTACATGGGATTTTTTATCCCATAAGTTGTGAAATGGGACAAGAAGTTCCATAATTGTCACAAATAGGATTAAAAGTTCTCTATCATAATGTTTTATAGAATATATTATCCTACAGGAGAATGGAAATTGTTTTTATCTCTTTAATTCTTTCCATTTGAAAATTTCAGTCCTAACTCTTTCCATTTATCATTTTACATTTAGAAAGTACATGCTATTGCAAGCAAAATAATACCGAATTGGCAAAATTTCATTGAGAAATAAAAAAGTTATTCTCATTCAAGAGAACACAGCAGTACGATTAACAGAAATTTGGCATGATGATGGATTCTCCCTATGAAAATTTCAGTCCTCTTACAATTCATCATTTTACATTTAGAAAGTACATGCTATTGCAAGCAAAATAA